CTAGCCTAAACACGTGCCTTCCTTTATTCTCACAATTAATTCGTCCCTTAAGCATTCCCCGGAGTCCGTACAATACCCAAAATTCCGTACTTAAACCAAGGCGTGAAAGGTACGTAGAACTGATTGAGGGTTTGGTTTTGGGGAGACATTTTTAGGTGTCTACAGTTACACTTCCACAATCTTTCTCACCATGTCCTAATTTACCACAAAAGTAGCAAAACAGGGGTAGTTTTTCATATGCAATTCGAAAAGATTCTTTCATGCCCCCTCTCATCTTCAACTCCACCTCTTTTAGTAAGGGTTTCCTAACATTGATCATCACTCTCAATCGCAGCGACTTATTTATCCCCACCACGTCAGATTGATCAACCTCCATAAAAGTGCCCACCGTATTTCCTAATAGGCGCACATTATTGTCATTATTCCGACCTTTAAAAGGTAAATCATATATTCTTACTCAGAAAGGGGTAAAGAATAGCGGTATTTCGGATGGTTTCGTATAATCTAGGATGTCCTCCAGCACAATAAGATGCTTATCAAAGTGCCATGGTTGTGATTCCATCACTTGTGCTTTGTCTTTCCAGTGATGAAATTGGAAGAAAAACAATTCTTCCTAATACTGTTTGCCTCCATACCATGTGTTGGGTTCCAAAAATGCCTCATCATATCAATTAAAGCCTTCGCGTTCACATTCCTCTCCGTCCAGACTCTTCCTACCACTCCCAGAAGAGCCTTTGCTTCATCCTCATCTTCCCCTTCAATTTCCCATTCTACATCCTCCTCCTTATTTAAATCGTTATGAATTGGTAATTGTATAGAACTTTTTGTTGTGTAGTTTAGCTCTGCCATCATTTTCAATTCCCGGAAAATCAAGAATTAGACCTTAGAGAAGGAAACCCTAGCCTGCACTAGACGACACACTCCCAAAGGTTTTACCTAGAGGGAAGGTTTTTTTTTTCCAGGAATTTATTTGGTTAATCGGTTTAGATTAATCTTAAATTTAGAGCAACTAAAATTAGCATCCAAATCTATTTCCAAAAAAAAAAAAATAGTATCCAAATCTTGTAGAAATCCTAATATGCTTTGTAAAGAGATAGTCAAAATGTTTATTATAAATCTACAATTGTCAGCTTTCGACATACTGATCGAATAATTGATTTTACCAAAAAGCTCAAATTGAATCAAACTTAAATAAAGAGGTTATTTCAAGTAGGAGAATCAATCAGTTTTCATATGATAGTCTAGTTAATGTACAAGGAGAATATATATCTAATTTTCACTCTAAACTTAAAGTGGTTATTGATTGAAGGACTTTTGGTCAGAAACTACCTATTAAAAGCCATTTATTGTGAGAAACTACCTAATAAAAAAATGTTGTAAGAAACTATCTATTAAAATGAAAATGTTGTAAAAGACTACCCTTCACCGGATTTTCACCGTTGACTAATTTTTCCGGCCTTGAGCACCCACTTGCCAATCACGTGACCTTTTAAGACCTTTTTTTTCCATGCCCCAGCAACAATGCCACCTTCCTTATCACCGCCCCATCACCGTACGGTTTTGACCTACCACCACAGCACCCGAACCCGCCTCAAAAACACCCCCAAACCACCTTCATGCATCCCCAAAACAAACACAAGCCCTCATGTGACCGAATATAAGGATGAAAATGGGGATGCTGGGAACTGAATTGGAAAGATAAAAAGGTGAGAATTTGGTTAATTCAAATCATGTGACCGGCCGAGGAGGTCAACGCCGGACAAATTAGTCAAAGACGAAAATCCGATGAATAATAGTTTTTTTACTACATTATTTATTTTAATAGGTAGTTTCTTACAACATTTTTATTTTAATAGGTAGTTTCTTACAACATTTTTTTATTAGGTAGTTTCTCACAAAAAATTGTTTTTAAAAGGTAGTTTCTGACAAAAAGTCCTTGATTGAAGTATGGATGATTATTATATTCTCATCGTTTTGTTGCTATGCAGCAAATCAAGGAAAGTGAAAATGGAGACCATACATAAGGCACTTTTGTATTAAAAAGGAGAAAGTGAGAGATTTAATTTATAACTAGAAAATAAAATTGGACCCCCTACCAAGCAAAGCTAGCTTAGGTCTAGTGGGAAAGTTTACATCTCACAACCAAGAGGTTGTGGGATCAAACTCCATTAGAGAGACTTTGGGGTGGGGATTCCCTTACCCTTTCCCCTCCCCCACTTCCAAAGTGAACCTGTGAGAGGTTCCCAATAGACAACGGAAGGAGTACCTTAAGGTAGTTTTAAAAGACACCAAGATTAACTTATACTGTAGTATTCCATTTTTGTTGATACGGGAGGAAAATAAACATTGATAGACATGTCGCGTACCTAACAAAATAACCTAACTAACCACTACTATGTAGACTGGCAAGCAAGGGTCGAATCCCAAGAGACTAAGGTTCAAAAATAATTAAATAGACTCAAATTCCTACTAAGCAGAAATCAATAATAATCGAATAATTAAGGAACTAATGTATGGAAAATTCGAAAATAAACTAAAGAATATGAAGAAATCAAGTAATTAAAACATCCAAGATCAAGTATGACCACAATTACGAATGATGCAATTATATTTCTACCCCTAACATACCATTCCAATTGAACGGGGAAAAGTAAACCTTAATAAATACCAAAGACCTCTCTCGAGTATCAATGGCTTCCCTAACATACAATCAAGCCTATTCTCATGGTATCATGCATATTAGAGACATTAAACACATTACTCTCACTTCCCAATTATCAAACCCAACTACTCTCGTGTTGAATATCAAACCCTAAATTGATCTACTCAAATCCGTTTAAACCCAACTCTCGTTGTGATAGAAACAATGGAATAATCACAATACTAAGATTACGTCTAACCTAGTATTGGCATAATCACAATCAATTTAGCATAGTAATTGCAAAAGTCATTAGAGAATTTAAAGATTTAATTCATGCATCAATCATAATTGGGCTACCCTAGATCTTGGAATAGGGAATCTACTCACACATATTGAAATAAACAATAACAAAAATAATTAAAGAAAACATAATTAAAGAACAAGAGATTAAAAGAAAATACCAAATCTTGAATTAAATTGAAGGTGGAAAGTATAAATCTTGAATCTTGAATTACAAAAACTTAGAAAAGTAGATGGAGAACTAGTTCTTAATAATAGGAATTGAAAAATAAAATAAACTTAATGATTGATCTAGAAAAACAATGCTAAAGAATATATATACAAGCCCAAAAAGATAAGGAAACCGGCTAAGCCTTGGCGCACAAGGATCCCAGGTGGCACGGACGTGCCTCTGGGCGTAGAGAATTGCTGCAGCTTCTGCCTTCCAGGCACGGACGTGCCTCCCCTGCTGCGAATATCACTCATCTTAAATTAGTCATAACTTCATAACCGGAGCTCCGTTTGAGGCGTGTAATATATCGTTGGAAAGTTATTCAAGTCTACTTTCCAATGAAATTTGAATCACTCCATTATCATTTGTATGCCAAAAGTTATGAGCATAATAGTGAACAGGTGTCATATTTGTCAAGTATTTCATCAACGTTTTGCTTCATTTTCACTCAAGTTTGTCACGAACACATGATTTGATATTCTTAAGCAATATGTTTTCATACTTTATGATTATTATACTCAAGATTAGCCAACCATACTCCATTTGCATATAAATCACCTGAAATTCATCAAAACACACAAACGAAGAGTAGTAGAGCACAACTTAAGCAAATAATGCAAATATGCACCAAAGATCTCTAATTTTATAATCAAATGAGCTTAGATACCCACCTAAAACATATGCAAAATAGGACCTATCAAACATAAACTCGACCGCCTATACGGTTAATGTTCCATTAGTTTTGGAGAGAGGGAATAAACATAAACTCGACCGCCTATAAGGTTGATGTTCTATTAGTTTTGGAGAGAGGGAAGCCAAACCTAAATTTGATCCGAGACCTGACTTGATTTGAACTCTGTAGTAGAGGTGTCAATTCAAATAACCGGATGGAGTTTGGGTCGGGTCTGTTCGGGTCGGATATATTCGGTTCAAAATTACCCTTTTAACCCGCTTTGGGTCGGATCGGATCACTTTCGGGTCGGGTCAAATTCGGGTCAAGATCTGTCGAGTCCAGATCGGGTTTGGGTCGGATCAACTTCAGATCAGTTCATGTTCGGTTCAAATACAATCGGATCGGGTTCAAAACGGGTTTGATCGGGTTAATCTCGGGTCGGATGACTTTGGATCAGGTTGGTTTCGATTCGATTGATTTCAGTTATGTTAAGTTTGGTTTAATTACTAAAGTTGATTCAGTATTCGGTCAATTCTGATTTAGTTACTTTTCGTGTTTGGCTGAATTTGGTTGGGTTGACCAAATTTAATATTCAAATACGTACATTTTTAAAATTAGAGTAATTATTGAGTTTTTTTTTTTTTTTTTTTTTTTTTTTTTTTTTTTTTATCTTGTTATTGGGTCGATATCAAGGTATTAATATGTCATTTTTCCATATCGTGTCATTAATATATGTTTATGTAAAAAATAAGGTAAATAATAAGCTAGGTTTAAAATTATGGTTAGTTTGAAATCATGTTAAGTCAAAATCAGGTCGGGTTAAAATTGGGTCGTGTTAATATCAGTTCGGATAAAAAACGGATCGGATTGAATCGGGTGTTTGTCGGGTCAATTTCGGTTCGGATTGAGTTTAGGTCGGGTCAAACCGATTCGGTTTGAGTTCAATTCGGGTCAAATCGGTTTCGGGTTGAGTTCAAGTCGGGTCAAATCGGTATCGGGTTAAGTTCAAATCGAGTCAAATTTGAATTCGGGTTGAGTTCAATTTGGATACAAATCGGGTTTGGGTGTTGAGCTTCTCGGATCAAATCAAAACGGTTACAATCAAAATGGATGATTTTTTTCGATTCAGTTCGGTTTTGACACCTCTACTCAAGCAAAACTTTTAAAACCGTGAGGCAGTGAGGCGGGTGGTATAGTACATTGATACTCCGTCGTAAACTCGTAACTCCATTCCATTGTTGTGATTTTGGGAGGTAAATAAACATTCCATTGGCAGGCAACGCAGAGAGAAAGAGAGAGATAATGAGAAGCGTGGTGGCACAGATACCCACCAGCTTTGGACATGAGCTTAGAGCTTGCCTTCGCTGCAGACTTGTCAAAACCTATGATCAGGTTCTCTCTTTTTCTTTCTTTTCTATTTCCAGGCTTCTTTCATTCTTTGTTTCTCCTATATTATTTTTGAATTCTTAGGGTTTATCACCAATTTTATTATTCACAGTTTAGGGAATCAGGATGCGAAAATTGTCCCTTCTTTGGCTTGGATAAAGATCATGAGCGTGTTGTTGAGTGTACTACTCCTAATTTCACTGGGTATGTTCCCTTTTTTTTTTTTTTGGGGGGGGGGGGGGGGGGGGGGGGGGGGGGGGGTTGAATTAAGGGTTTCTGGGTATCGGTTTCAAGTTTTAGTTTTCGAATTGCGATATTTGTTGTTTGTTTTAATTATTTTTGCTTGCATTAGAATTTGCAAATTGTCCAACAATCTCTATTATTTTTGAGGATTCTTATACCATATCAATGCCTTTTTTTTCCTTTCATTTTTCTCGATTTTGTTGATTTCAAGAAGCTGCAATTTTCGGTATTGGCTGCGGAAGCTACCTTATCGCAACCTTAATTTTTTACAAGCAAATACTGACAACTCTTAGTGATGCTGAAGTAGTGCTCCTGTATATCTCAGTTTTTAAATTTTGTTAATTTCAAGTAATTGCATTTCCTGAATTTCTCTGTGAATGATACATTAAGCTTTAGTAACCTACTCAAAGTACTACATCAACGTCTGGAATATATCTTTTGCTCATTGAGGCACCAAAGATCGAATATGCTCTTCGATTTATCTATTAGGCCTTTGTCATACAGAATCATTGTAAATTCTAGACATGTTTAGGCTATATGGGTAGGTGGATTCTTGTAGATTCTATTCATCCCTTGAAAGTTCAAAGTGTTGGACTTGATAAGATTACATCATCTATCTCATGTTCAAATTGAAAAAGGCATATCATATTCATACTAGAGTTGTGTTGTAGTGCTACTTGTTAGAAACTCCCTTGTGCAACTCCTGATTTTCCAGAATCATATTTTTCTAGGATAATTTCTGTTATGGATCCAAGTCGGAGCTGGGCTGCTCGCTGGCTACGCATTGGTATGTCACTTGTTGCATTTGTGCTCTTCCTTTTTTTTGGGTTCCTTGTTGTCTCTTTGATGTTGAAACAAATTTTTTCTTCAAAACCATACCTATTGACCTATTGTCTTCATATATATATATACTTTATGGTTGGTACGGAGTCATTGGACTACCAGTGGCTCATTTGTGTATGTTAACTCATGAATTATAATTAAACGCAGCACACTGGATGGATAAAATTTCCATCATCGGGCCTTTTAATGATGTTAGGAGCAATTTTTGAAGGGTGTTTTGGGTGTTCTAGTAACAAATTGGGAAGGATAAGGCTTAGGTGGGTAAAACACACTATGTATGGACTCTAAAGAAGTCTGTGCACAGTATTGGGTAATGAATTAGCATAAAGGTGATGGTGTTACAAAACAGCCCATGTGGTATAACGACGTGATATGTTGTGAGAAGGGCATGTTTATTGTCTGTCTTCTTTACTGCTATATCACCCGGGCTTGGTCAGTCTCGATCTAGCAGTTCTATAAATTCCTATCTGTTTTCCTCTTAATCTTTAGGAAGCTGCCCTAACTATTCTAAATTGTCCTTTCTGTCTTCAGAGTTTTCTTTGCTTCCTATTTAATATAAGTGATTTGGTCATTTCTTTCATTCACTATCTTACATTGATTTCTATCCATAATGTGGCATTGACTTTCTGCTTGTTGTAGGTTTATATACACAATTAGTTCATAATGAGATTTTTAAATATTGATTCCTTATGTTGCACGTGTCTGTGAGATTTTGACCTAGCCAATTTAATTCTACCTATTTGTCCTTGCTTGAAACTATAGAGTGGAGGTAGCCAAGAACATGAATCTTGTAACAGAAAATGGTGCTATAGGATCCTCGTTATAACACACCATGTCTTCAATGTCTAGAGGCTTAGGGCTTGTTTTCTTCACCTTATTTTTTTATAAAATTGATTTTTTATTACTTCCTCTGTTTCAAAAAAGATGCATCACTTTGCTAAAAATGTGAGCTTTTTGGGTGAAGTGATGCATCTAATTCGAACCGGAGGAAGTAAAAAAAAAACCGATTGTTACTATTATTGTTACTGATTTAAATTGATTTGATCCACTGTTGTGTTGTTTTATGAACTTACTGATTTCTAATCGAACTAAATTGATTTTTTACTTGTAAAATTTGATAAGTGCTAGTTGGTTTTATTATGTTTTTATTTTATTTTTTTGAAAACTGAAACAGACAAGCATTACATTAAAAGCGACCCCCTCCTTTTTCTTGATCATTTTACTTGTTGAAATTAATGGGTCTTCCACTCGTATTTCTTTTGAGCTCTTTAAGAATTTGTGCTTGATTTGTGGGCTCTACATAGCTGTCATTTGTGAAATTGAAGGAATATTTTGTCTCACATAATTTGGAATGAGCTTTGTTTCAAACTTCTTTATGCCTTTATCTATTAGGAAGCTAACTTCAAAAGTGGATCTATTAGGCTGATTGGGTCTAAATGTTCTTTAGAACTCGGAAGTGTCATACTAGCTATATTACCTCCTTCAAAGTCTCGAGTTTGTGCTTTTGTATCTCTTTCGGGTTTTTTTTTTTTTTTTTTTTTTTTTTTTGGGGGGGGGGGGGGTTGTGTAACCATATTGTAGTCTGCTCGGGTTTCTTTCTTCACATCTGTTGTATCTGAATATGGTGGTCCACACTATAAAATAGTTAGGATAGTAGCCTTGGTAGGGGATAGTTTACACATGTTCCACACAACATACCATACACTGGCTATGCACCAGTACCACCTAGCCTTTTGCTGTTTTCAAAACTATATTTTACTGAAAGTACAAATTCGAAGGGAAAAAGTCTAATGTATTTCTGGAGTAACAAATGCTCAAAGGTAGTTTAAGGCTTCCCCAAATGGGCAAAATGATACCCACTAGCTTCTTGATTTAGAATACCCTAAACCCAACTTACTATCTCAAATTAATTATTCCCTCCATTCCTTAAGTTGTTGTAAATTTTCATTTTGAGCTGTTCCTAAATGTTTTTTGCACTACCCTTTTTCTTTCTATCCTCTCTTATTCCATTTATTGAACCCACTTAGCTCCACTCTCTTTCACAACCACATTCTCTCTCTTATCTAAAAAACAGAAAAGGGCCTGCTCTCTCTTATTGAGGATTTTAAAAACTACTTTAGAGGTTCAAAACATTTTGTTATAGTGTGGGAATGATTTGGGGCAGGTTTTTTTTGAAATTGATTCTTTTCATGCTGTTTTGCATTTCGAATATCTATTTGATGGGGTTTGGCTTAGTGCTCTAGTGTGCCTTTTCCAAAGTACATCAAATTTATTAGTTTGGGGTTTCCAAGAGGCCTTTTTAGACAATTGATATCGGTTCACCTTCCTACAGACATGTGTAACACAAATATTTCATCAAAATAATTAAATTTCAGAAGATCTGACCCATATCAAGTATCAACACACACGTGCAAAGTTGTAGCCCCTTTCCCCTTTGAAGCTTTCTCTTAATATCTCACCTTTCATAAATTGTTTTTTCTAGTCCTCCCGGCTGGTTAGTGTTTTACAAAAAGAAGGGTTTAATAGAATCACCTTGATTGAGCACCTAGCCCCAAAATTATGCCCCTACAAAGTTCAAATTTATTCTGGCTTTGCTCCTGGGTTCTTAAACTATGTATCTTCATTGTAAAATTAGTCTTGTAGATTTCTACATTCCGTGTGAAGTTATGAACACTAGTAACCTTTTTTAGCTTCAAAGCTCAAAGTTTGATATTGTATACTCTCATACTACTCTTTTTGCTTACTTTCTGTGTTGTTTAATTTGTCATATCACTAATCACATTATTTCATCCATGATCTAGTGTTTGATATTATGTTCTATTATGGGTTTTGATTCTCTTTTGTTATGGATTGATATTTAATGGCTAATCACTATGGGTTTAATGGTAGAAGCCTGAGTCCATGTTATCATTTTCTTTTGTGCCTTTGTTAAGAATGTTAATGATCTGCCACAACAATGTCTGTTAATCTCCATTAAACGACAGTACGTGTTTCTACTATGCAGTTTATGCCTTTATGACAGGTCTATGTTGGATTATGGCTTGCACTGTGGTTTTATTGATATACGAGATTAATTATTACTTTATCAGTTTTTTTTTTTTTTCACTGCAACTTGGAGTTGGTTTAAAAATCTTCTAATTAATGACCTATCATACGATCTACTGTGGGATCCTTGAGTTGAGTTACTTGTCAATGTAATTTAGTGAATGGATAGTTTCTAAAGATAATTTTATTACAGATAAGCAATTTACTCCCCCTAATATTTGACAATTTAATAGAAATATTCTGCATGATGTCTATTTATGTTTTTAATTGTGTTGAAATTCTTTCATTTGTCCCCCCCCCCCCACCCCACCCCCAAAAAAGAGAAGGAAATATTGTTTTCAATGTTAGAAGAAATTGAGGGAAAGGAAAATGAAGTGTCACATCCAAACAAGGGATATTGAATCCCTCATTCTCATGCCCTCCAATTTTCCCTATCAAATCATTTTGAAAGATGTGGAGCACAATATGACGATGTTTTTCCTGTTTTTCAGGAAGATTTGTTCCTGGATGCTACACCCTTGCTGTATCAGAGGCACTTCCTGAGGAATTCCAGGTGCATATTGATGTTTACATCTGGCAACTACCTGGATCACTTATGTTGATAATTATGTTGAAAAATTGTCAATGTTTTTGAATAGGCACATTAATAAGCTTCCTTCCCCCCCCCCCCCTCTCCCCTCCCCTCCCCTCCCCTCCCCTCTCTCTCTCTCTCTCTCTCTCTCTCTCTCTCTCTCTCTCTCTCTCTCTCCCTCTCTCTCTCTCTCTCTCTGTGTGTGTGTGTGTGTGTGTGTGTGTGATTATTTTTGGATTTTTTGGTGCAAGTATTTAAGCTTTGGTCTTTCAGGTTCTTTATTGTTAAATATTAATTGAGGACACAATTCTTTGTTCCCTTTGAGAAAAATCATAAAAAATTGGCTTTCACCCTCTTTTTGGTTGTCATGTTATACTATACCTCTGACCCTCTTATGCAACCTTATAGCTCTCCTTTTTGGTGGTTCTGATGTCACCCTTTTAGTTCAATGCTCTCAACTGTCCACATTGGTTACTGTTTGACTTCCTTTTTATTATGTTATTGTATGATTTTATGTCTCTATCCTCTGAAATATGATTTTATGTTTGACAACTAACTTTGACTATATGCTATTTCAGAAACCATGCTTTCTGGAATGAGATGCATTAGTGTGAACTAAAATTTACACTGACCATTTTAGCTGTTAAGCAAGCATCTTAATAGGTGAAATAGTGAAATGACCTCTTACCATTTCCTGAAATGAATCTGTATATTTTTAATGGAGCTTGTGAAAGATTTCGACATGAAATTTACTCAAAGTCAAAGATAGAAAGAGCATGTTTCTTTACTCACATCAGAGGTGCCTTTTGTCCCTTCCTGTATGACGTGTGCATTTAGCTATTGTTGTGTACATAGAATTTTGATGTGAACGAGCAAAAAGTATACGTGTTGAATCAATTGCAACAATCAGTCTGTCTTAGTAATATGTATTCTTGACTCCTACAGTCCTGCCGTTTTCCCCGTCTCTTCTCTGTAACTTGTTCAAGGACCATATTAAGGAACTGATAGATTTCTCCTCTCTTTTTGCAGGCTATTTGTGAGGATGAGCGTGTTCAATATGTGCCTCCGAAGCAAAAGTCTTAGGTTATAGGTTTGTGGATATGGCAATGATGACTGTTGTACACAAGCTAATGCTAAGCTACAAATTCAGTCAGTTAACTATGTTTGGGAAGATTAGTGTCATAACCTTCTAATTAAAATGTCTACTTTTTAATTGTACTTGTTTGAATGTGGAACGTTCGATGCCGTAGGTAAATGTGTTGAATTTTATAAAGTTGGGGCTTTGAAAAACTTACTATTGTTTATAGGTTCAAGTCAATATGATATGCGAATATGGGATTAATCAAGCCTACTATTTGTTTGTCATAATTGAAGCCGCCTTCCGCCTCTTGTAACAATTATACATGGAAAGAAGAGTAGTAGTGGTCTAGTGGAAAGGATTGTCACCTCGGTACCTCACAAATAGAGGTGTCCACCGTGCGAGTCGTGCGAGCTGGGTTAGGGTTAGGTGGGTCGCGGGTTGGGGTTTCATGACACACGGCACGACACACGTAGGGTAGGGTGGGCCGGGTCGTGGGTTGGTTCGGAGAAGTTGGACACACCAGGGTTAGGTTCGTGGGTTAGACGAGTCGTGGGTGGGTCGAGCTGGGTTTGTGGGTTAGACGGATCGTGGGTGGGTCGAGCTGGGTTTGTGGGTGGGTCGAGCTAGGTTCGTGGGTTAGACGGGTCAAGGTGGGTTAGTGAGTTAGGGTGGGTCGAAGGGTGGGTTAGTGGGTTAGGGTCGGGTGGGTTTGTGGGTTAGGTGGGTTAGGGTCGGGTGGGTTAGTGGGTTAGGGTCGGGTGGGTTTGTGGGTTAGGTGGGTTAGGGTCGGGTGGGTTTGTGGGTTAGGGTCGGGTGGGTTCGTGGGTTAGGGTCGGGTGGGTTGTGTGGTGTTTTAATTTTTACAAAATTAACAATTTGATGGCTTGCTCTTAATTAAGATGCCTACGTATCCTTATATTATAAAATAAGGAATCAAAGCCAGCGTAGTTCTTATATTGTACTTCTTTTGAAATTTGGGGGGGGGGGGGCTTGGACCTATCTTTAGAAAACTAAAATTTAATTTTGCAATTAAATTGTAATTTTCGAAAAATAAGTTGCCTACGTATCCCGAAAGAATCAAAGCCCACGTAGTTCTTAGCGTACCTGATTTAGACTTTTCTAGCCACCCATGTTTGTTGCATCATCATCCCCGGAAGCTGCATCATCCGTTGACGACTCCAATATCATCACAGGATCATCTTCATCGTCTTCGTCTTCCTTTAAACCTTGAGTTCTTCTTTCAGCTTGATCCCAATCTTTCTTACAAACACAAATTTGAATGCTTTCCGGAGTTAAGCGAGATCTTTTTTCATCTAACACTCTTCTACCTGCACTAAAAGCAGACTCGGAAGCAACAGATGAAGCGGGAACTGCAAGTATATCTTTTGCAATTCTCGCCAATATAGGAAAACTTTTTTTATGTTCTTGCCACCATTTTATAATTTGAAAGTTGTTGTTGGTCTCATGTTGATATGACAAATAATCATTAATAGCAAGTGTTGAAGAAGATGATGATGAGAATGATGTAGATGCTTTGTGTTTTTTTTTTTTCATAACTTTATCAAGAAAACCAAATCTAGAATCGGAAGTGCTAGTAGTAGTTGGTGTTGCCAAATCAAAACCATAAATAGATGCATAATGATCATAAAGGTCTCCCAAAACAGATTTGCATTTGTTAATATATTCACTAACATCATAATCGATACTTAAACTTGTATAATAAAATTTCTAAAAGATTTTCCAAACCTTCAGCTTTGACACCGGGGTCAAGAATAGCAGCAATTCCATAAATGATTGGAAATTCACTAAAATAAGTATGCCACTTACGTTTCATGCTATCAAGAACGGGACGAAGTCCATCAATCTTCATATGCTCTTCGATGGTGTGAACAACTTTAACACACTCAATTATGACTAAATGAACGTTAGGCTCATAAATATAAGAGAAAATATGAGTTGCACTATCAAAAGCATTTAAAACATCACGAACAAAAGAAGCATTAGTCCAATGACTTTCGGTTATTAACTCAGTAGGATCAACACGAGTCTCATTGTAAAGTTGGGTCAAAATATCACGATACTTTATAGCATCACTCAACAACTTGAAAGTAGAATTCCAACGGGTAGGGGTATCAATAGACCATTGTCTTTTCTTAAGACCTCTCTCTTTACACATAGCTATGTACTTTCTTCTAACTGACTGAGTAATCCTAATCCATTTTATAACTGTTCTAATTGGGTTTAGTAATGGTTGCAACTCAGCGAGACCCTCTTGAACAGACAAATTCAAAATATGAGCACAACATCTAACATGCAAGAGACTACCACCCAACAACAAATTCAACTCGGAGTCATTTTTCAAATAGTCAATACACTTTGTGTTTGCAGTTGCATTATCAAGAGACAAAGAAAAAACTTTATTATTCAAGTGAAATTCTTTTAAACAATCCAAAATACGAACTTTGATGTTAAAACCGGTATGCCTTTCTTCCATAGCTTGAAAACATAGTATACGTTTTTGAATAAACCAATCATCATCCACCCAATGAGCAGTAATGCAAAGAAAAGGTTCGCCAAAACTAGAAGTCCATGTATCACTTGTAAAACTAACACGACCATCAAAAGTACGAAATAATTCAATCAAACCACTCCTATACTTATAATAAGAAGTTTGTGTATAACGTCTTAGGGTATTTCGGGGGACACGAGTAAATGCAGGTTGTAATGCAACTTTATTAAAATGCTCAACGTTTGCATTTTCACCGTAACTAAAAGGGTATTCATTAGCAATAACTAAAGTACTCATTTCATCAATCATTCTATCTTTATTATAAATGAAAGGTGTACCTCCGCCGGGTTGGTTCATGTATCCACCCAATTGTGTTTGGACGCCACCCCCCGAAGGACGGGGGCCATTTTCGAACAAGTCGTGTTTATTTTGCAAATGCCGACTCAAGGTTCCGGTTCCATCTCCCGTTTTCCAATTATATGACTTGACATTTGCACCTAGCGCCTTGCAAACTAGGCATGTACACGTGAACCTCTTTGGTTGACCAGGTTGCCATCCCGGGGGTGTGACCTCAACTCGTTCAAAATGTTTCCACACCCAAGAAAAATGTGCTCGACCTCTACTTTCACCGCCACCACCTTTCATAAATCAAATTATTAAAATTAATTTTTAAATGCTATTCATGAAAATAAGCTTTTAAATTTTAAATATTTTAATTATACTTATTTAAACGCATTTTTCATGGTAATTAACTAATTGTAAATCATAGAAAATTGGAAACTAAACTAACTTTATAATCATTAATAATAGTTTTTTTAAATATTCATAACAATAAAAATTTAATTAGAAATTACCTTGAGATGAAGGTTGAGATGTTGGTTGCGATGGAGGTGGCATAGTTGAACTTGATGATTGGTGGGACTCGTGGGAGAAATGTTGTGGTGGAGACGTTTGAATATTTTGCCTATCTCCTAAACCATAATCTCCATATTCATTGACAAATTGGTTTAAATTTTCCGTATTAATTTCATACGAAAAATTTGCACCACCACTCCTTTGGCTACCACTTCGACCACCACTTTGACTCCTTCCCATTCCTCCTCTTGAGCTCATTTTTTTTTGTATGATTACTAATTATAATATGGAGAATAACTTTTTTTTTTTAGAATCTTAAGAATACTAATAATAATATTAAGGAGATTTTTTTTAACAAAAATATAACTCTATATAACACTTGAGAATTTGAGAACAATAAGAATTTTTAAGTAAGAGAGAAAGAAAGCTTGAATTTGTGTGGAAATTTGAGTGAAATGGAATTGGTATTTATAGGAAAAATAGAATGGATGATCATACACTTAAAAAACTAGTCGTTAGATACAAAAAACTAGCCGTTAGATACAAAAAACTAGCCGTTAGATACAAAAAACTAGCCGTTTTTTTTTAAAAATGGATGTTAGGCCGTGCGGGTCGTGCGAATTGTGCGGGCTGTGCGGGCCGTGCGGGTTGTGCGGGCCGTGCGGGTTGTGCCGGCCGTGCGGGTTGGGTGGGTCATGCGTGCGGGTTGGGTGGGTCATGCGTGCGGGTTAGGTGGGTTGGCTCGTGCGGGTTGGGTGGGTCATTCGTGCGGGTGGGCCGTGCGGGCTGGGTTGTGCCAGGTGGGTCGGGTTAGGTGGGTTCACGGGCTAGGTGTGTCGAATTAAATGAGTCAAAACGGGTTGTGCGATTTGGGTCGAATCAAACGGGTTAAACTGAGCTGGGTTGAAATGGGTTGTGTCGAAAATTTTGGACCCACGACACAACCCGGATTAAATCCGAGCTGTGCCGGGCTGTGCCGGATTGAAACCGGGTCGGACCCACGTGACCCACCAGCCGTGCGAGTTAGGGTGGGCTGGGTCCAACCCGGCCCACTGGCCACCTCTACTCACAAACATGAGGTTGTGGATCCACTAGAGGCCACTTGGGGGGTGGGGATTCCTTACATTCCCCCCCCTCCCCACTTCCAAGGGGTCTTGTCTGTGAGAGGTTCTGATCTAGTAAGACGCCTTCTCCTTAACTTTAAAACAAATATACAGTAAATAACTAGTATTAGTATACTAGTATGGATTATGGAGGAGAAGAAAGATCAAAGCGGATATATCAATGAGTATTCTGGTGCATTTGATCTTTCAGTTGATAGCTACTTTTAGCCTCTCAGCGCCTCAGCCCACTTATAATGTTAAAAGACTGAAAGAGATATTTGTAAAGTTTGATTGGAAGGTTTTTTTTTTTTTTTTTTTTTTTTTTGAAACCAAGTTTGATTGGAAGGTGAAGAGCCATTATTAATTATTAATAATTAATATTATTATTATTATTTATTATTATTAATTTTTCTTTTTTTTTTTCAAGATAAGGTATATGCCAAAATATAGATGCTCTATGGTTGGAGAAGTGGTGCACGTGAGACACAAAGCCAACAAACTCATAAGCCACTTGTTTTTTCTCATTTGTACTTCAATCAATCACGATTAATCAAGCAACACTTGATATAGTTGGTTAGAGTCAAATCTTTTCTATACTTTCAAGTGATTGGGTTTGATCACACTTCTCTTTACTTTAAAAAAAAAAAAAAGTCAAATCACAAATTCACAACTAACAATGTTGTCCTATAAAAACATGGCATTAACAATATATGCGTAACATCTTTACTCTTTCTTTTGTGTATGTGTTAATACTTAACACCCACATAATTTTGAGTATATAGGTATATATTCTCTATAGCCCA